CCCGCGGGCAGCGGACAGGGTTATCCGCTGCCCACGCGCTCCGCGGCTTGGCTCTGCTTTGCCCCCCCGTCTAACTGGCGGTCAGTTTCAGCAGCGGCTGAATCTGGACGCCAGTTCCGACTTACATACAGATTCAACTTAAGAACAAACCTACAGTCCCTATCTTGTACGTAACCCGGGGACTGCCTGTACACAAAAACCTGTAAGAGCACTTTTTAACCACCTTGAACACTCATTAATGGATTTAAATATAGCCATTCGTCTACAAAGGAATTTCAGGAACCAACAACAGAGAGAAACTGTAGAACTGACCTTCATATGCAAATTTAACACTGTCTCAGGGACTGAATGGCGGTCAGTTTCAGCAGCGGCTGAATCTGGACGCCAGTTCCGACTTACATACAGATTCAACTTAAGAACAAACCTACAGTCCCTATCTTGTACGTAACCCGGGGACTGCCTGTACACAAAAACCTGTAAGAGCACTTTTTAACCACCTTGAACACTCATTAATGGATTTAAATATAGCCATTCGTCTACAAAGGAATTTCAGGAACCAACAACAGAGAGAAACTGTAGAACTGACCTTCATATGCAAATTTAACACTGTCTCAGGGACTGAACAAAGACATGAACTGGATGGGCTGTTATATCCAGCATCCCAATGACATCAAAAGTTAAGGCTGGGAAGCTTCCAGCCCACTCAATTTAGCCTCATTAGCACCAGCACTACAATTGACAGGTTTTTTCCCTCCCCCTCTCCCTTATTTTTCTGTTACAAAGTGGGAGATTTTTCCTTTTTTCTCCGTTCCTGTGTGGAAGAGGATTTTGCCCACAAAACGCTCATGATACTCTCTCTATTTTTATCTTTAAGGTGCTATAGGACTACTAGTTTTTTCTCCAAGCTAATATTTCACAATGCTCAAGTATCCAGAGTTGTGCTGCCCCTGTGTGGTGTGAGCAGGAATTTGTGCTTTTTTTTTTTTTAACCTAGCTTCCGAACATGCATGATTATACAGTTGGGCTGTCTCTACATGGGCGTGATCTTGTGCCAAAGTGGCCACTTTTGCGCAAAAACATGCTGCCTGTCTACACTGGCGGGGAGTTCTTGCACAAGAACACTGACGTTCTAATGTGTGAAATCAGTGCTTCTTGTGCAAGAACTATGATGCCCCCGCTCAAGAACAAGCCCTCTTGCACAACTGTTCTTGCGCAAGAGGCCAGTGTAGACAGGCAACATCAATTACATGCACAAGAAAGCCCGATGGCTAAAATGACCATTGGAGCTTTCTTGTGCAAGAAAGCGTCTATACTGGCACGGATGCTCTTGCGCAAAAGCACATGCCAGTGTAGACGCTCTCTTGCAAAAATACTTTAATGCAAGAGCTCTTGCGTTAGAGTATTTACATTGGCATGCTCTTATGCAGATGAAGCCTTGGACTTGTCTCTGTAGAATCCGGTCAGGATTAAGTATTAAATTAAAACAGCCACTTTCACTCTAACATAACACTTAATAAAAAGCAATTGGTAATTTTACAGAATCAGTATTTAAACCACAGAAATAGTGAGTTCTTGGATTGAGATTTTACTATTAATCCACTGAAATGCTATGTGAAATAATTTGTCAGAACATTTCATCATTTTGAACATAGTATATAAAGTTGGTCTACTAAACTACTTTGGCTGAAT